TTTTAATATATTAGACAGTATATTTTTATAAAAAAAATATATATATATATATATATATATATATATTTGAAAGCCTAAAAATGCCAATATATTAAATAGAAAGAAAGATACATATACAATATGTGGGAGGGCCCAAGTATGGTATCCTGTCCACACAAAAAACCACAAATTGTTCCAAAACTAGAAAAAAATAGAAAAAAAAAAAACAGAAAAATACATTAGATACTAAAATAAAAAACCTAACAGTGCTGAAATACATAATATCAGGTGTCTAAAGAGTGACCCAATTTGGTCTTGGCTCTACCTCTGGTTCTAGGGTAGGAGCAAGCTAATAAGTTGATAAGATGATTGCCATTGCCAGTAGCAACCAATATATCATCTAATATGTTCCCGAGCTGGAGTCGGCATCCATTCTTCTTCTTCCTCCTGGAATAGACCTGCCATTCCTCATCCGAAGAATCAGTCTGATGGGGTGGTAAAACTGAAGTAGAAGGATTACCAACCGTATTACCCATAATTGGTTCTAGTATATGTTAAGTATGAGTTGTTTCGACACCGGATACTTCTTGAAGAAGTGTAGTTATGAGGCTCTCCTGATTATCAGTCTGAACACTATCATTTGTAGGTAATAGTAGGGTAGGTAATAGTCCATCAGTATTGTTTTTTATGGGATTTGAAGATGTCAGCATCACATCACTCGCAGTAACAGTAACAACAGTGTCATGGGGGGGTTCCTCAAGGGAAATAGACACCTCCTGTCTGGTGATATCCTCCCCAGGTGGAACTAAAATGTCTAGAGCAGTGGAGTTAGACCAATCCTTATTCATTTAAACCTTAGATTTCAAATTTGGATGAAACTTGTGACTGAAACTTGTGATGGATGAAACTTGTGACATTTATCAAGGACATGACCAAATATCTTACAGTGGGTACAATATGTGGGTCTGTGCTCCATGACGATTTGTTGCCAATAACCATTATGGGTTGTGCCAAACCAGACTTCAGTAACATCAGTTAAAGTAATTTCCCTTTCCACAAGTATTCTGACCACCGAGGATCTGGTTAGGTTGAAAGTAGACAGATCTAGTTTTAAAGGATCCCCAAGGATGACCCCAATAGAGTAGAGAACCTGATGGTGAAAAAAATGCAACTTGAGACCAGTTAAACTAAACCATACTGTTACAGTGGGAGTTTCATGATTTTGGTCGAAATCAGGAGATCACTTGAGTAGCTTCATAGGTTTACCAGCAATGTTAAGATGTTTTTTGGAGAAAATCCGAGTGTAGTCTTCAGGCACGGTTAACTGAATCAAAACATGTCTTCCATCCATGAGCTTCACTTTTCACTTTTCTGCTAATTTGAGGTCATCAAAATTTTTCCTGATAACATCCATAGGTGGGTTTCCCCACTGAAGTTTCCCAATGAGAGCAAACTTAAATTTGCCAGTCAGGGTTGAAATTTCTGACTCTGAGAAAAAGAGTGTTGTCTTCCCATTTTTCCTGCTTGCATTCTTAATAAAGGGACAGTCACCTGTACCATCACAATTCTACTTATAACTTGAAGGGAACACAACCACCGTCTCCACAACGTGGGCAAAGGAGGTTATATCAGGTTCACCCGAAGAAGAAGGAAGCTCCATCCAGAAGCTCTGCAAATCGGGCAGTGGGACAAAGAGGTAGGGGCGCTGCGCAGAAGACAGTAAACCGCAGACAGGAACTACAGATGAGCTCGACAGAGTCAAAAACTCAGTTCGACAAAGCAGTGCAGGAGGCCCGCGACAAGACAACGCCGCAGAAAGCCGCAGGTGCGAACTGTCGGGCACAGACGCGAACGACTGCTAGGTCATGTGGTTCCTTTGTACGGCTCGCCCGGCCCGCACACAGATATATATATGTGTGTGTGTGTGTGTGTGTGTGTGTGTGAAAGCCGCAGGTGCGAATTGTCGGGAGCAGACGCGGACGGTAGGGCACAGACGCAAACGGCTTTATCGTATGTTCCTGCACGTGATCCCTTTCCTTTTCTTCTTTGACACTCTGCTAGGGCATGTGGTTCCTTTGTACGACTCACCCGCACAGTGTGTGTGTCGCGTACTCAGATCAGTTGGTCGAACATCTATTTGTCAGTTGTAAGTCCCCTCTGGTCTGGGGTTCGATTCCCCCAGTGTGTAGGGTGTGATACTCGAATTATAGGCACATGAGGGATGACCGGGGCTCACATCATAGCCTCCAGCCATTCCTTATATATATATATCATTTGCGTTGAATAAGGTGCAACTGAGTCTGTTTAGGTCCTGCGTGCTAATAAAAGGGTCTGCTTTGATGCTAGCTTTTCATTGGAAGATGGTCATATGACATGATCTGATTTCTCTGTTACATTTTTATTAGAGGATGTGCGTTGACAACCAAGCAATTTATTTTTTGTTGCGGTCTCGTTATTATTGATTGTCAACTGAATTATTGAACTAATCAAATTGTTTCTTTATGCCATATCTCTTCTTTCGTTCAATCTTCTTCTACCTTCATGTTAGAAATAAGTACAAATACATTTTAAAAGAAGTCTGAAAGTTTTTTTTAATATAATATGTACGAGGGATTTACTTTAGAAAAGACATAATAAAGGAGGCACGTTCTACCAAATTGCCTTACCAACCAAAATGTATCCTTTTATTTCTTCTACCATTCAAGGAAATTTAGAAGTTTTTTTTGAGGATAAATTTTGTGCTTTCAGAGTGTTAATTGTTGCAGAAAGATTTAATAAAGGAGGCAAATGAAATTTTTTTTTTATGCAATATGAAGTCCTAGAAAAAGTACAGAAGTTTATGAGAATAGATTTGGTTGCATGTTGGGTGGATCTACTACTGTAGAAATTTTGGTTTTGAGACAATTAATATAGAACTATAATGAGCCGAAAAATCAACTTTATGTGGGTGATTGGCTACATGCAGGATTTAGTTTTAATATAATTTTGTAAATCAGGATTTATTAAATCCACCGATACCCGAGTTAACCCAAACTACATTAAGAAAAGAAAATATTATTACTAGAAGCAAATAGACAATTACAGTCAAATATACTTAAAATAGAAAATACAATACACACGACATACAAACTCGCGTTAGGGCGGATCCCAGGTGAAGTTGATGACGATTAGAGGGCTTGGTGTGGTAGTGGCAAGGTATAGAAGGGGTTTCTAGGTTGTGGATGAGGAGCGACAACGATTATGGGTGGCTGGAACAGCAGGGCAGCAGGGGTCGACAACCCAAACAGCAAGAGTTGGCTGTTTGGGACGGTTGGACAGCAAGAAAATTGCAAAGGGGAGGCGTTGCAGCAATGGCAGCAAGCTGAAATAAGGCTAAACAGCTGCCCGGGTGGCTGGAACAGCATCTGGATGGTTGTTTCCTGGCGGCGACAACGAGTAGGAATGACGGTGGCAGTGGCGGTGATGGTGTGTGATTGTTGGGCAATCAAAGGAGTTTTAGGGGCTGTGACAAGGAGGAGGATAGCAGGAAGGCGAGAGTAACTGCAGATAAATAGCAACAGGACTGCTGTTGGGACGACTACAACGAGTAGAAAGGCGTGGTAGCGAGGCGAGAGGGATGCGGGAAGAAGTAGGGAAAATAATCACCACCTGGAAATCAAGATATAGCCAAAGCACCACTTGGAACCCTAGGATACAGCTCTCGAAGGGAAGAAGATATGCGGCGGCTATCTCGGTACAAAAAGAAACAAAAAGCTGACTTTCAAACTCTACTACAACACATATATAAGGAAATACTAAAAAGTAAAGAAGAATAATAGGAATGAAAGTATAAGAAAGGAAAATGAGATTATTTAGTCCTTTCTCCCGCGATAGCTATTCTTGCGGTACTGTAGCAACTACAACACTGTAGGAATTGTGTGGTAAGCATCCACCTCCTTGCTGGATTTAAATCCATATTTAAGATGAATCGAAGGCAAAAACTTGGCCATGAATCCAAATTTTCTTAAATCCAAGAAACTTGGGTATCTTTTATGTTTGGATGTATTTCATAAATCCGACGATAAATCCAATTAATAGGCGCCACCAAACACCTCCTATATGATTTTTTTAATTTAAAATTTCAAAATATATATGTCAAAGATACACTGAAGCGATTAAATATTTTTCTATCTTTATTTTATTTTATTGATGTACTGTTAGTTTGTATCAAAAAGTTATGGGGTGCACAAACAACTTGTAATTATGTGTATTGTTTATGAAGATGCAAACGATGCTTAGAGTGAGGTGCCTTGATGTGTAGTTTTTTTATAGATGTCATATTTTTGATTGATGAATAATCCGTTAAAATAAAGAAAATATAGAATAATAGAAAAATGTTTGGAAGAGAAAGGTTTTAGAGTTAGTAAAATAAAGAATGTGTGTAGTTATGTAAGTTCTAGTAGGCTTTACTTGTGTGATATTATCAATCTATATTATTAGAAGCTAAAGTGATGTTTAGGTATGATATTTTTTGAAATATTTGGGATCTATCATACCGAGGAATATAAATATAATTAGTAGAGTTAATTTTGAGTGGGTAAAATAGAAAAAAATGCCTTGTTTGTGTTATACATTTAGAGGGTATTGTGGAAAATTTAATGTAGATTTTATA